CTTTGTTAAAAGGTAATGAGATTACTGAAGAAAGGGTAAGATAGTACAGGAAGAAAGAACAACTCTTTAAAATTTATCATTATAAAGAACAGAAGAGCAGAAGTCTGATATATACTTCAGCGTCCAATAAATATTCTGTTTATAGACACAATTTGCAGTTAACAACATATCACCTCGTGCACTCATCCATTGGTGCATTGATGAAGACCACATACCAAAGATGTTTAGCCTCTGCAGATCTATCACAAATGAAAGCTCAGGTACTGAAAAGAAACCTTTGACGAGCCCTCAAAAATGCAGCATCCATACTATCAGCTACTTGGGAACATCTGGGCTAATGTGCATAAAATACTACCGAATGGATTGGATTTCTAGTACTTTCTCACAAAATTACTTTATTCTATTTCTTAGTTGATCCTCTCTCAAACAAGTACGGGATGTTTTACTAATGCTGCACTGAGCTAGACATTGTTAACCATTTTAACCATGATATTTCAGATTCCAAGCCCCACGCCTATCACTGGAACCTGCATCAACAGAGGTGAAGGCAGGAGGAGGAACAGCAGCTGGTTAAAACACTACAACATCAGCTGGTATTTTCAGAGAATAAGAAAATTAAGTCACAAAATTCCAGTCATTTTAAATGGTACTTGACTTCAGTTAAAAAATTCTTCCTTTCAACTTATAAAGAAGATGATCAAGTTCATATCAAACAGAGAATGCACTTCTGCAATTATTTATATTTGGGTAGCTCTTGGAGGCTGCTGTCAGGCCTGCCTTCTGATTAAACTAAGAAATATATAAATACAGTATACAGATCTAAATGAAGTAGGTGCTCAAATCCTCTTAGAAGAATTTAAAGCACTGTAATGACCCTTACATAAGCAGTGACATACCTGAAGAGACTGCAGGATATGTAAAAATACGTAACTCAGAGAAGGAAAAAGAAAGGGAGATGGAGAACTGAGGCTGAGGAGGCTTACAGTACTGAAGTGAGGGGTTAAAAATAAGCAAGCTCACTAGCAAAAATACATCACCATGGTCAAAAAGTTCATTTGGCTTTTTCACTATCTGAATCAAGCTATAAAAAATTAACATCTGATTTTACAAATACATTCCATGCTATATTTAGTAGAAATAAAAACTGTTGTAAAATTGCTTTTTAATTTTCACAAAGAAGTGGTTCAGAAACTTACGGCCAACCAGAATCCAGACCCTTTAGCAGGACAGGAGAGCATACAATTTGTTCTCTATGTTAATGAGTTCTGAATGGGACTACAAACATAGCACTTAAGATATCTCAGTTAAATTACATAACTTACCTTTGGTTTCTTCTCTGTTGATATGCTTTGTGCTACTCACTGAGCTCTGTTCAAGTGCTACACAATTACATACACCATAAAAGTGTTTTCATAAAGGAGGCTTACTCCTGATTTATGAATCTTCTGAATATGATATTTTCTGTGAATGGATAGTCAACTGCACAAACAGGACATTTCCCATTAGCTGTTAATGTCCTAAGTTACGATGAAATAATGAGTGCCTCCTCATAGTGAGGACAGCTTTCTGCCCATCTCTCTAAAGACACGTATGCAATATTCTGCTGCACTTAAACCTAAAGGAGGGAAGCTATGGACAGAGGGAGAGTTGGTGCTTTGGGAGCTACTGCAAAGCAGCATTCACAAAATCTAACTGGGTTTTCAGAAAAGTACACAAGACCTCTAATGTAATTCTGAGCTTGCTACAAATCTATTTTTTCTTTAACAACTAAATATACAGTAACCATCCACTGACTTGAACATGACTAACTGCATCTTCTTCATTAATCCAATGAAAGATGCAAAATATTTACTTCCTTTACTTTAAGGAATTAATTTTCATGCAGTATAGCTGTCTAGACTAATCATGCTCATTATGACTGTAGCACAGTGTATAAATCTTATTAGGGACTCAAAAAGAACATTATCAACTTATAGCATTGTCTTAAAGTCTGCATTTAGAGTAATTATGGTGTTCTTAAAACTAGTATATTTTAATTATTAATGTATAGGTACTGAAACGGGTTCGTATTGTAGCTTTTGAGAGCTCAATTAGAATTTGTTTATTTATATATAAATTAAACACTCACTTGCCAAAATAGTAAAGGGCTGCAGTGCTTCACAATAATCCTAGTAATAATTCAGAAAAAAGAGCACTTCTTCAATGCAAATCCGCTCAAGAAAAGCTTCTATGCACAAAGTAAGATGAACCAGTTACTGCATTGTTTATTAAGTTTCACTTGATTCCTCCTGACAACCATTTAAACAATGAATGTTGGGAAATGTCTCTCAGAGAATCAGCGACAATGGCTGGGATCAGAGCTTTTATATTTAGCTAATACTGTTTTTAGAAAGGAGAAAATATTTCTTCCTGAAGGGATTATAGGAGGTCTTATAAAAGACACCTGCAAACAAAGCAAGCGACAAAAGATCTCTATCATAATTGATAACAGTTATCCTTTGTACAGATCTGCGCTTCTTCAGAAATAAATATTGTATCTTTGCTACTGAATTTCAAAAGACATCAACTAATCAACGAGCTTGCTGATCAGGAATAATAAGTTTTAGAAAACCTGACAAGAAGGAAGTGTTCATGTCTAATGGATAGCAGCCTATTATTAAACAACAGCAAGTTCCTAAGTTTTCTTCTCTCATATCAAAGGGCACAGGCAAGCTTTCAGCCTGTATTCATTTAACAGTGTACTGAACATACAACATCTTCGCTTTTGTTTTTGTTTTGAAAAAGAAAAGTTTTGGCTTAAAATACAAAATTTCACATTTTAACTTTGCCCCTTTTTTTTTTTTCCTCCTATTTTTGACAGTTTCTTAGTAGCCTAGTTAAAAAAAAATTAAGCAGCGTGAGGGGAAACGTTTGTAACATGCAGTTTACACTACAAGCTTTGAAGAAGAAAGCAATCACGCATAATGCAGCAGCTTCTACACCTTTATCACAGATCAGTTATATTTTGTAAGCGTGTACTGCCTGGACTATGTGTACACTGGTCAAATAAACAGGCTTCCCAATTCCCTAGTTCTCATGTACTTTGCATACAGGTTACCTCCTTCCCCAACTTGCTTTTGGAACAAAGCAGTTGTCTCTCTCAGAATAAAAACTGTGTCATTCTCTAGACAATTTGCTTCAGGGTCTGCTCCCAAAAGAAAATATGGACAAGACCACACCAGCTTTGGGTCCCTTCTGTTTACATGAAGTTCTCTAGCATTTTCCCAGCAAATTTTGCATCCTCAGACAACCTCACATGCCTTAAAACCACATGCCAGGGCATGCAAAACACCCACTCAGTTTCTTGCTATAAACACATCACGCAAGTGGGCTGCAACACAACCCTCACACTATTATACATGCACAGAACTAAGGAAAAAGGTTAATCTTTTTATCTCAAGATTTAAGGCCCAGAGGATGCTCTGGCCAAGAGTGGTATGTAGTACACAAGTTGTCCAGTCTGCTGTAAAGAACACAAATGTGTGGAAACTCTTCTGCGTTGCTTGGCCTAAGGGCCAAGGACTTGTATGCAGAAAAAATGTTTTTGACTTTGTGGAAGTAACCCCTATGTTAAAAGAGAAGAGGACAAGGATTGCACAACAGCCTGATGCCTGATCTTCCAGCCAAAAGGAAAGGCACTTACATACTGTCCCAAGAGAGCTGAAATAAAGTATAATATTCTGTCTAAATGATTGTTAATGAGACTGAAGAAAATTTGGGATCTTTGTAAACTGTAGAAAATGGGTAGTGTACTACGGAAAATGTTGGTATTTCATTTTCAGGAAATAATTTATCAAGGCCTTAACATAGGAATTTGAATTCTTCATATTTGCTATGAGCAACTGTAACCCACCCACCCACCCCCCCCACACAAAACTACCCAAGAGCAAAACAGCACTTGCTTTAATTGTCAGGTAAAGCACAGTGCCCTCCTTTATTCCCCAAAATAGTATGACGCGCTATAAAGCTTGAAAAACAACTGCATATTTCAATTCTAAGAGCTTAACTACAGTAGGACAGCTCTTTGGAATCTTTTGTTTTTTTTCCCCCGTTCTTGAGTTCAGCATTAACAATGTATTTAGTCTTGCTTTTATGAACCTGCAATGTCTTTGGCTTAATTTTAAAGAAGTCAAAGCAAAGTTGAAATCCTGATTGAGAGAGGAAGAAAAGTTAGCAATCACACCTTAATAAACATTTCTGATTGAAATATTACAGGGCTGATCCACTAAGTGGATCCAGAAGATCCACTAAGTCATTTCTTTTGTCTAGCTTCCATGACTCTGTCTGTTCTGTGATTCAAGTTACTTTGATACAGTACAATCAATCCTTTTGTTGCATTATGCTTTTCACAGAGTTTTATAAGGAGGATTAACAGAAACTGCAACAGAAAAATTACCTTGGTGTCATATATAATCCTTTCATCATCATCGAAATCTCAGTGCTTTGTCCATCTTTTTTTGTCTGTAGTAACTTATTTCACTTGTTCCTATTAAGGCTATTATATTCACCTTATTACTACTAATCTTTTCTTTGTAAATAGCCACACCTATTTTAATCCAAAATGGTGTGGTAAGCATTTGATTCTTTGTGGAAGTAGACACATAATTAGGTTAATCTGTGCTATCTTTTCATGTGAGTTGATTGTTTCTTTACTATGGACATATTTCTTATAACAGCAATAAGCTTGCCAGATTGCTTGGAGGCAAATCAGGAGCAATTTACCAAGCATGTAGCTACTATGAGCTGAAATCCTGACATAATAGCAAGCTGTGTATAGCCACTCCTACCTGCCAGTTATTACTCATGTTAGCTTTTTACTGACACACTGAATTTCAACCACACCTTTCTTTCACAAACAAGCACTTTCCTTAAACTAAACTACATCTGTAATAAACAGTTCATTTTCTCTGAAGCCAACAGGAATCTAAATTCAGAATGCAGTTTAGAAGCAAATGAATTACCTGCACAAAATCCAAAAATGTCAGTGGAAGCAAGTCGTCCAGATGGCCAATATCTTTTGAGAAACGATTTAAGATTCTTCCTACAGAAGTTGAGTTGGAAAAGAAAAAGGAAAAAAAAAAAAAAGGTAAATATTGTTCCTTAAAAGATAAAAATACATTAAACTATACTTAACAATCAAATAGAAGCAGCTGGTATCTAAAAAGACACCTTATGAAACCACCATGGAAGACCTTTTACAACCAGTGCAATGTATTTTGAGAATACTTTTTAAGAAACACTTTTATTCAAACATGAAAGATTTACTACAAAGCTGATGTTGTTCTTTTCCAGCAGTTCAGGCTAATAGTTCAACAGAACATAACAGGTGAAACTTCATATATTCAGTCTGTGCACATAAAGGGGATGGAAGTATTGGCACCCTAATACAAGTTTCATCAAGTAACATCAGCCAGAATCTGCTTCTGGCCTTGAGTGAAATTCACTAGTGCATGCATGTCTTAGATAGATCACAGTTGATCTAACTGATCCTTTTTAGTATTTCTGTTCTCACCCCTCCTTTGTGAATCCAAACAGCAGGCATTTCTCAAATAAAATTTAAGGTAGATTTCTGTTTGTGCAGGTTTACGTTTAGATTTATTCAACACCTTGACAACACTGCTCTTCAGTAAAAGGAATAAAACAATTTTTAATCTGCTGTCACTGAAGCATTTACACTCTTCTATTTTCCCAAGTTCTACATGAGTGAAAAAAAATCAGTAAGAGCAATAGCTCTTTAATAATTAAAGTCAAAACACTGCCACCCATAAGTGGATTAGTATCTTTCTCTATTAATTGATATTTCGACTCTACAGGAAGGAAACCAAGCTAAGGATGGGAACCTGTCTGTTATAGGGTGTGCAATGCCCATACATGCATTCACATTGCTTTTTTATCTACGTATATCTTGATTCAATTATTACTTCTAACTGGTACAAACACATTCTCTGCACTGGCAACAAAAGACTTTTTTTCCCTTTTCAAAGGAGCTCATTAAACTGAAAGTAGTTAAGTTTTAAATTTCCATGGAGTGCATTGGAGACATAATTCAGAGACAACGGCACAAACAGAAGCAACTTCTGTAGCAACCATCATTCTATTTTTCAGTTGATGGCCGTCTCAGAATTACAGATTTTGTTGCGTAACATTGATTTCTTTTTGAAAGGAATTTTCGTTCCACACCAACCAATATGCAAAATCCTCCTCAGGGCTGGGACTCCAAAGATTCTGTTGGCAAACAGCTTGTTCTGCAGTACTCCAGTCCAAAGGCAGTTATGTCAAACATCAACTTAGCATGAATCCTATTTTGGTGCACTGCACATGCAGAGAAAGGGTAACAGCAGCACAAGATTCAGCAAAATATATTTCATAATATTTCTACTAGAAAAGGCAGCTAGTGATTTCACTTATTTCACAATGGAACAGATCCATTAGAAGGAACTCCACGAAAACTTTTTCAAGTTTCCTTCTCCTTTGTCTTCCTTACATTGGGATTTTGCCCATGGAAGAGTATGCACACCCTGCACACATGCTTGAGATAAGACTTTTTAACATCTCTAAACATTGCATTCCAGGATATTTCCCAAAGATCCACGACTTCATTGGTCATTATCCACAGAGGTGCAATGATTCCTTTGGGCAAAGCTTTCCTTAGCAGCTTGTCCCGGAGAGCAGATGAAAGAAAGAACATGGCACAGTGGTTGGACTCAGGTAGATATTGGCTTTCTTTCTCCATCTTTGCCTCTTGTATCCTGAGCTACCTTGTTATATGTTACAGAGCAAAGGGCAGAGAAAAGGGAGGTAGCAGCACCCAGCCCCTTTGTGAATCACCATCAGGGGTGCTGACAACAGCCTGGCCCTGTCCCACAGCCTGGAATCTGTGCCCAAATTCAGTTTTACAATCTTCCATCACCTTTTAAACACAAATAAGTTTTATGTGCCATGGTTACAGAGGACTGTCAGTTGCTCTGTAAAGAATCTCTAACACAGCTGCTGGTTGCAGCTGCTATGTGGCTACCCACAGATAAGGCATGGCTTGGGTCACTACCAGCATCCTCAGGAAGCAAGCAGTGCCTACCTCACCCCCATGCTCTGACCTGTGGAAGAGCATATCCTAACTTGTTCCTAGGAAAGTGCTGTGTTCATGCTTGATTTGGATAGTGAGGACAAGTCCTTAAGGGCTAGAGGAGAGAAACCGGCACAAAATGCTCACTGACTGTCAGAAGCATTTAACTCTTTTGTAGCTTCACTTCCAACAGGATCCTCGAGTTCAGTTCTCATTTTTTCTCCCTGCCTTACATTTGAAGGAAGGCCAATTAAAGTTCCTCAAGGAGGAACTCTGCAGAGGTTGAGTTTAGGTTTGGGCAGATTTTTTTGGAAGCTGTGACCATTCTCAATGATTTCCTGAAGTTTCATTTTTGCAACTAAGACTTTTAGCATTGCAAGCATGATACAGATCTGTATCTAGCTGATAAGAAAGCAACACAGATACAAATGAGAAGTGCCTTATGTTTGCATTCATCCTTAACACCAGGGGAGGTTGTGACAACGTTCTCTTTTACAGCAACACCTGGTGAAGCTGTTTGAGGAGTACGGTCACAATATTCCTCTGGTCTTCCACTCTCTTCCATATATCCACTAACAACAAATTACTCAAGTTCCTGCGAGTAATTGAGCTTCTCATTAATTGCCAAAACTGTATTTTTGGCAATTGCCTTTAAGCACTGTTACATTTAACAATTTCATTCAGTGCTTCCACAGACTACGTTTTGACAGAGCTTCAAGCTGCCACTAGGAAAGTGGAAATTACTCTGACGTTATCAATAAAACATGAAAACATCTTTTAATCTGCCTAATCCTCTTTAGAATGTAAATACAGTAATTCTGTAAAATGACATGAACTAAAATACGAGTGAGCAGAAGAAATGGTATATAAAAGATGTAACTTGAGAACAGTGGAACCTTTTACAGTCCACCTCATACAATTACAGCAATTTAAACACTGGGGACATGATTCAGCTGGTTCACAAATAAGTACTGAGGTGAATCTCTGGCAGCAGAATGTTACTGCTTGTGAATTTTCAAGTTATTGGAAAAAAGTTGTCCATGGTCTATTTAGTGTTTGCATATAGTAATTCCAGAAAACAGCACCCGAAGTCATTAAGATTAAAAAAATGCCCTGCTTCTTGCTAAGAGGTCTCTTTCTCTCATAATGCCAGTGTTATTCCAGTAACTACTTTCATGGCTTCAAAAAGGAAGCAACATAGTTCTATTTTTGTGATGCTGGTTTTCAGTAATATTACCCTGCTGACTGTGTAAGAGAAGACACAGGCCCTGAAAATTTATTTCAGATCCTGTTCATAAAGATATAACTGCACTGGCATTTTATTCAGCGTGTTCAGCACAGAAGGCGGCTACGGTAACCCACTAAAGCAAGCAAATTCCAGCACAGATAGCAGAGAGCAGCGTAGCTCCAAGCAGAAGTGCGATACTTTGGAAACATCCACAAAATGCCCTGTAGCCATCACGATGTTGCACTGAGAACGATTGCTAAATTTACAAGGATGTCTGCAAGTAAATGAGGTCTATTTTGCAAGGTATGGAGAAACAACTGTCTCTACTTATAGGAAGCACAGCAAATCAGTGGCTTAGTTATGCATTATTAACCATGCAAGAGAAAACCTTCCAGATATGAAAATAACAGTAGTCATTTTCAGTCAGGATTCAAAATGCTTACAGTTACTACCACAGTTTCTACCTGCATTTGCAAAGCTAGCTTTTAGAGATGGCACTTTCGACTAAAGAAACTGTTGCACCTGCTATTCAGGAAGGACAAGGTTTGTACAAGGTATACTAAAACAAAATGCAGTTTCCTCTCCAAAGCTTTTAACATCCTGCTCTTCCAAATTCAGACTATCAACATCACCATACAATACCTAACACTTAAGAAAGACAACATACATCGTGATCATTTCTGTGACACAGATAGATACTGTGAGACAGTATTTCTTACACCTAATCAGCTCACAAAAATCTTCCAGCTCACCTAATGCTTGCCCCTTTTATTGATGTCACTGAAATTCAGTTTAAGTTTCAAAAGGAAAAAGGAAATACTAAACACAGAATTTGCAAGGCAATTGAAATTTCATGAAAAGGCTACAGAAAAAAAAAAACAAAAAACCTCTTGAAAACAACAACACAAGAACTGAGCATGCTGATGTCACAACAGCACCCAAATTTGCAAATGCAATCTGGTGCTTTAATCATTCTCAAGCTCCCACTTAGCGTGCTGTGTGAGTAGTGAGCTGCAGAAGAGAACGTGCTCTTTTCCACAATTCCATGTTTGTTTTTACATTAAGTAATTTAATCAGAAAACACACTGTTGTTAAATTTTTTCCTTAGTAATTAAACAGCTATTCAATGCCAATTAATCATAGTTAAATAAAAGTCTGTCACCAAAGTGCTATGTACACATTTGAGACTATTTAATGGTCAAATACTTGGCAGTATCAAAGTTAAATAATGATTCATTAAATGTCCTCCACTACACAATAGTTAGGCTAAACTTGAAGTGAAAGAATCAAACTCCTTTGTTCTCCATGAAAGAGCCATCTAACCTCAGAATGTGATACTTTTTACTTACAAACTCTGTAGATTGCTTTAATTGCACGAATCAGAATGTGTTCAGGTGCGACAGACTCACTTTGCTTCTGCAGGTGCTTACTGATACTTTGGAATTGATGTTCAAACCTATCATCCAAATAATGAAAACACTTGACAGTGTACCACACCTACTTAAAATGTTTATACATACTTTATGATGAAAGAAATATAATCCAAACTGAATCAACACTTGTGATGTAAACACCAGAAAATAAGAGGATTATATATATATATATATATATATTTAAATAAGAAATAGGATCTTCCACAGGACCAACCAAATGCCACCAATAGCATTCAATATTGCAAAATGTAAATTCCAAGGGTCAAGGACTCCAAGAGCTGCTGCACATTATTTCTAAATGTATTTGGCATTTCTAG